TTTTAATAAACATATTTCTTACTAAAATATAAAGAATCTAATATTTATAATTATATGAAAATAAATATACTTAAAACTTTGAAGTTATTTATAAAAATTTCTTATATAAATTAATTTTAGTTTTTAAACTTCAGTGATTTTGTTTTATTTTCAAAGTTAGTATTATATATTTGTTTAAAATGTTAAAAGATCTTTTACCTTTCGTTCATTAAGATATTTAGTTCAAAGTTAATATTATATATTTATAATATTATTTGAGAAGTCAGTTTTCTACGTATCGCGCTCACGTTAACTCTCACGATGGTTGATTATATAGATATATATCCTTAATGATCTAAAACTATTAAATAAGATGGATATTAATAATGTATTTCCTTTTTTCATAAAAAGATTTTACTTAATTTTTTAATTTAAGTTTACTTTTTAAAACACATAAATAAAAAAGGTATATTTATGAAATATAAATCTTTATAGAAAAACGAAATTTAATAATTTTCCTAAAATAACATATTTGGTGTTTATTTAAGAGATATTAAAAAGGAAACTAAAAATATTGTTTTACAAAAATAAATATTTTATCAAATAATTTCAAAATCCTTTTAAATAGTGTAGCACTATTTACTATTAATGAAATGGAAATATTATATTTTATCATTATTAAAATTCTTTTTGCTATTTATTTTTCATTTTAATTTATATTTTTTATGTTTGTGGAACTTAATATATAAATAATCAAAATACTCAAGTAAATCTAAGTTCTCATTTTTAAGATTGTTTAAAATATGTTTTAGTTTACCTTTTAAGAAACCTAAGGCATAAAAGAATTTTGAATTTATAAATATTTACATATTATAAATATTAATATGTGCTCATGAAATTTTAAAAGTTTATCTTTATACTCGTATTTATGTATGTAAATTCCTATTGATCGTCACTTTATTTTTTAGTATTTCTTAAAAATTAACATATATCCAATTATTAAAAATATTATAAAAATACTTGCATTAAGCCATAAATAAAACTAATTTGATTTGATTTAATTAGAATACAAAATAATTATATTTTTATTTGAATTAGAAAAATTATTTATAACTCAATATACTCACAAAACGAGTAAGGAATGAATCTAAGTTATATCTAAAATAAAAGATCTAACTACAGCAAGAACATATAATTTTAGAATAATTATTTATTTAACTTTATACATATAGATACAGGATGACTTCAAAAAAAAATATCAATATAGAAAAATATATTATTACCCAACTGTTTTGTAAAGTTTATATATATGAATGAGACTTCATAATATTATCATTATATTCATTTATGTAATTTTGAGTCAAAATTTCAGTTTATGTTTAATTTCATTACAAGCATAATATATATTAAGTTATACATAATCTTACTAAAATATATTTACATATATAAGACAATAACCAATCTTCTTTTTTTTTTTTTTTCTTTTTTTTGACATCGACCTACATACTCATATAGACTTTGTGAACCAGACCGGTAACTCTGCATCCATGTGAACGACGAAAAACGGTTGCATCCTGGCACTCCGTGCTAGGCCATCCGCCCGCGAGTTCAGTGCTTGTTTGACATGAATTATTGTCGAGCTGTTGAAACTCTCTTGAAGCGTCTTGATATCATGAAGATAACTTGCAAACGCTGGCCATTCTTCTGGTTTCGAAACCATCTTCACCAGTTGAGAACAGTCCGTTGCAAATGTAACATGATATTGTCTTAAGTTTCGCATACTCTCCATTGCCCAAATAAGTGCCTCCACCTCTGCATGAAGTGGAGACATACTGGCCCTAACATTCTGATATGTTGTGTTTTTGACATATTACACACATACTTTTCATATCACTTTTGTGTTTTCTTGGAGTATACTTAGTGTGTTTTGAGTTATTTCAGGTATAGAACAAGTTGGAATGCACCAGAAGGAGCATATGGAAGAAAGAATGCAAAAACCAGAGTTTTCCATCGCAGAGCACCCGAGCGGAGCAACCCCCTTCTTGCTCCCTCTATCGCGGAGCAAACCCCCCTTTGCTCCCGAAAATTATGGAAACTCCTAATTAATTTTGGGATTTGCCCTAATCTTTCTATTTTCTTCTCCCAGCCGCCTGTGGCCTTCAGACATATTCTATTCTATTTTTTCCTAGACAGAGAACGCTTTTT